ACGCCACGCCTCGCCTCGCCTCGCCACGCCACGCCACGCCACGCCACGCCACGCCAGTCTGCCTGTCGCACAAGCGTACACGCGCGCGCCAGCAGGCAGACACTACAGCCCGAGGACATGCAGACAGAGACGCAGAGCCACAGAGCCGAGACAGGCCGGCACACCGACAGCGAGAGGGCGTGCAGAGACCGGCCAAGCGCGAAGTCGCACGGGCGGACGTGCTGACTTGTTTCTTTTGCTTCAAACACGCGTGACGCAAAAGCAGCAGCTCGCCTCTTCGCCTCGCGCGTGCGACAGGCAGGCGCACAATGATCGCCTGATCCGACCTCTACCTGCCGCTCTCTCTTGCGCACTCTGTCTCCCCACTTGGCGCTTTCTCTCGCCTCCTCGCCTGCCTCCACGCCCGAGCTCACGCTTGGCCTGTCCGTGCAAGTGTTGTGCTGCCCGTCTGTGCGCCCATGTCTGTCTGTGTGTCCGCTTGTCTGTTCGGTGGGTTGGATGAGGATGCGCCTATCGACACAGTCCGTCTGTTTCTCGGACTCCCGGGCCGCCTCGCTCCGTCTGCTCTGCCCAGACGCTGTTTAGTCGGATTTGCTGTCTGCAGCGCCCGTCGCGGTTGTCTGTCCCTTTCGCCGCCTCCCTCTTCGCATTCGTCTCAGCGCCGAGCTCGTTTGCGCCGTCGGCCTCTTCGTCGTCTTCATCGATCACTTGTTTGCCCGCCCGCCCGCTCGCTCGCTCGCCTGCCTGCTCGCCTGCTTGCTTGCTCGCTTATTCAATCGATCCATTCGCGTGCGGTCGCGCCAGACTGGCCGGCCAGCTCGCTCGGCTGAGTCGACGCCGCTGTTCAGGCCTCGACGCCCAGCCGGTCCGACGCCCAACGCGGCTCGGCTCTTGTCGGCTCGCACGACCAACCGCCCGTCCGCCCGTCCGCCCGCCGGAAGACCGGTAAGCCAGCCTTTCTCATCGATCCCGCCCGAATGGGGCCGATTTTTATTTTCACTTTTTCAAATCAGCTCGACACACACACACACACACACA